TCGTGTTGCGCGTGTTTTTCCTAATCTTCCCGTCCTCGTATTTATTTCTATCTCTCACTACTAAATAATATTGCCGTTTAAAAAAAACTTGACTTAGCCTGTTTTCCAAGGCCAAACAAAGTTCAACTTCGCGACTCAATGAGATTTAATATTGATATATATCAAACTCATATATTTCCGTAAAGCAGCCACCACGCCAGGAAGCATTTCTTGCGCATTTTATATTCCGGAGTCAAAATATCAAAGCAAACGCCGGATTGTGTGTGTGTGTGTGTGTGTGTGTGTGTGTGTGTGTGTGTGTGTGTGTGTGTGTGTGTGTGTGCGTGCGTGCGTGCGTGCGTGTGCGTGCGTGCGTGTGTGTGCGCGCGTGATGATCAAGAAGCAATTTAAAAAAATTATTTTCAATCAATTCTTGCTTCTGACGTTTACTATATTTACAGATAACTGCAATGATGACGATTACAGATGCGCCATGATGCTACAACTATTTCTTTCAAAAATATACAATTGTGTGTATGATCTTTTGTACTAAATAACATATTCTAAGTTTTTTATCTAAAAAACTACGCTACTTCGATAATTCAACTAGGATAATTGGTATCCCAGTTTGTAAGAGTAAAAAAGTGTACAAATTTTCTTATATAAAAAACAAGAAATTCTACTAGTTTGGTCCAAAGTTCACTAAGTGGTGCGTACAAAAGTTACATGCTTTAAAAACCGATTGATCATGCTGCGTGGCTAGGTGCGCTGCTTTTCTCTCCCTTTCTTACCCAAAAAACATTGCTTTTCACGTTTGATTATCCGTATTATTATTATTATTATTATTATTATTATTATTATTGTTATTTGTTTTCATTCATTTTTTTTGTGTCGATTTTTTTTAATTTAATATCCGTGCATTTAACAAAAAACATAAAGAAAAAGTAACGCTTGATCATTAAGTTATGCTTGTCGAAATGATGAATGCGACACAACGGCCCAAAACACAATAATATAGCTTCATTTATTTTTGTAAACTCGCGTGCGTATGAAAAAAGAAATCTACTTATTAACCCAGCGGGGGAAGAAGACAGCATGTGAACAATTAATTGTCAATGCTTGTCACAAACGTATAAGTCAATGATTATACTCTTTTCCCACAACAATCTCGAAGTTTATATAGCGAATAATCCGTACTCTAAATCAAAGTCTTACCCGGAAAATAATCTTCGCTATCCTTTACAATTAAAGGATTAAATTAATATTTATATATTTATATTTCTTTGCTTTCAGCATTTTCGAGTCACAAACAGTCGTGAGTAACCGCGCACATAAAGCACCTAGTTAGCTCGTTCTGTTTTCACCTCCGATATAATTTGTTCCCCAATTCGTATAGTTTTGTCTCTTTTTCGAGCATATAATGCGACAACAGTTTGTTTTTTTACATGAGGCTTATATCTAACCTGCTTCACTGTCGCTCGAATCGCTGGAACTTGACGAGAGAGAACTGCTACTGGAATCACTGTCGCTGCTACTACTGCTCGACGCCGATAATCTTGAGGGTCCACTCGTGCCACCGGCGCCTACTGCATCCGTCGATTTACTACTCTCGTCTGTAACATTGCAAAGTAACAATTCATTATTATAACATCATTAAAAACTGTTTGTTGATTGGCAATCATCGAATTTTTATAATTCGTACCTTTCTTCATAGGCTTTTTCGCATTTCCTAGCTGCCCTGTAACTTGCTGTAATCTGTTCTCTAATTCTTGCTTCTTTTCTGCCATTTGTTCGTCCTTGGATTTACCACTGACTTTTTTATCTGTATACAAAATAAATAATAGTTAGCACAATTTTATTTCTCATGGCAAATGTTTGTTTTATATTACTGATAATAACTTATTGGACAAAATTGCATTTAATTTGTACACTTACTCAAAATCAAGGTAAAATAATTAATTAGTTAACAACGATAAGAAAGAATAAAGGTAGTCCCACTCACAAACGTCAATCCAGGGTGAACTGCAGCACTTTTTCGTTAGTATAACAATATAAAACTACGATACAACGTAGTTTATTGTATAAAATGGATAAAGGAAACGTACATTACAAACATACAATGTTTTAGTAAAAATATAAGTTAAATCGTGTGTGCAGTTGTAACGGCAGGTCAGGAATCATGAAAAACGTGCCGAATCCTTGAATAGACGTTGGTATGGAACTTACAATAAAGCTTACGTGGTTTTTTCCTCAGGCAAGATGCAACGTAGCTTTCGAGTTCTCTTAGCGTCGATGGCTTCAGCGTCTCAAAGTCAATTTCGATTTCATCTGGATTCGAATCCCTTAGCGACGGCTCACGTGATTGTATTATGTGTACAACGCGACCCAACTTGTCACCTGTAGGGAGTAAACAAAAACAATAATATAACAAACGAAAATAAAATTAATGTGCTTCATAATAATGCAAGGCTGTGACATGAGTTTCATATGATTTTAACGTTAGAAATCGTAAGAATATTTTACAGTTTTTGACTGTTTATTATTTGTATAATTGCCTATATAATCGTGGTATACTTATAAGTTTGAGAGAGGGCTTAATTATTTTAACTATGTAAAATCATTTGAATTGAAGATTTAGATTTTCCAAAAATCACATTATTTATAAGCTAGCTTATGCCTACATTAATTAATGTAATACTGCTTAAACTTCCATTGTTTGGTTTGGAATGAAAAGTAATATTTTTAGTTATTTATTTTTGCACTGACGACTAAAAATTATTGCACTTAAAATTATCACACATCCAATAAATAGATTCATCACTCATCATGAAAATCTCACAAGAATGAAATATCATATGAAAACCCACGATTTCATTAATCATTGGCCAGATAACGTACCCGGTAGTTTATTAATGTCCAAACTTAGCTGCCTCTTCTCATCATAGGACATTGGTTTAGCATTGTCCTCATCTTCTGAGTCGAACGCCATAGGTGGCGGTTGATTTGTGGCATTTTTCTTCTTGGTGCCAGCTGATCGACTATTGGCCTTTGGCCGTTTGTTAGCAGCATTAGCTGCGGTAGCTTTGCCAGGACCGCGGCCTTTACCGGCCTTGGGACCTTTGGCATTCATACCAACGGCATTAACAGCTGCGGCCATTGCCGCTTGAGCTGTCGTCGCGGCCACACTCGGCGGCAAATGATGGCCTGGGGGCACAGAAGGATAAGTATTGTACGGGTATCCGTACATCGAAGCTGTAAATACAATGGGGCCTTATTTCGTCTTTTGTTTTTTGCAAATTTTCATTAAAAAAGATAATTGAAAAAAACAAACAAATAAGAATTGGTGTGAAAATGTGAATATTGTCTTCATTATTTGCGACTAATGTTTTACGAATGTGTGTCAGATAAATTGTGCGTCTGACTCACATCGAAATAAAGTCCCAGTGAAAATGAGGTGAGGCATAGTTAAGAGACATAACTACAACTGAACACATGATAAACTAATTATATGATAAATTACCTGCGCCAAGGGATACATTGGCTAAACTAGCACCAACACTGTCCGACACGCCACGGAAGCTACCGGTTGGCTTCATTAGCTCTTTCATGGCACCACTGTGACCGCCAGTCAACAAATCTTTGCCCATGGGCTTTGGCTTGCCAATCTTTTCTTTCTTTACTTTTTTCTTTTTCTTGCCACTTTGTTCCACAAGCTTTCGCATTTGCTCCTGCATTGCTTTAAGCTCCTGTTGCAAAGCCACAAGCTTTTGTGTTCTTTCTGCTTCTTCGGAATCATCCGACTCGGACGAATCTTCAGATACTGAACTGCTAACATCACTGTCGGAACCTTTCAAAACTGCCAGACTTCCCATCGGCAAATCGTCTGGGATTTTGGCATACCTATTTTAACAAAAATATTCGTTAGACGCTACGCTACTTATATACTTCGCCAATTACACAATATAAAGATTACTGACCTCATTTCAAAGACATCTTGTAACTTTTTCGCCATGGCAACCACGTCGTGGTCTGGTGGATTGTACTTATAGCAATTCGTGAATATGAGTCGTACATCAGCGGCAAACTCCGATGCTGAATTGTACTCTCTTTTATCCATTTTTTGCTATAAAATCAATATTACAAAATCTTACCTATATACTATATTTCTTAATCACGCAAACAAAATTTGTATGCCAAAAAAAATATTGCTTAAATATGATTAAATAAAAAACAAAATAACCACCTTCACGGTCCCAAGATCCATAGGTTTTTTGATGATGTCGTGGTAATCGTGAAGGCCCAACAAATCCGCATCGACCGGTTTGTAAAATGGCCACGCGTAACTCTGAATATGAAACATAATGAAGTAAAATACCAGTATCTATCTCCGAATCAAGTACAATGACAGTTCAGTCATTATAATTACCGAGTGCTTTTTGGAGAATAGCTCTTTCAGGATTTCGTTGCATGATTTCAAAGCTTCCGTCAACTTGTCCTTCGTTTTACCACTAGTGTGTTGAGGCTGTAAACAAATCAAAATTGTTCACTAATGTCAAGCGGACTATTTTTTGTATTAGTAGAATAAGTTATATATTCTTAATCAATTTTTAGTTTGTTCAATTCACAACGGAAAAAATTATAAATGCAAAACCTCAAGCACACACTAATAAAAAAAGCCGATAAGAAACAAAAATTTAAGTTTCATGTTGATAAACTTTTAAAATGACTACGAATGATTGGATGTATGTGTGTGCGTGGAATGAAATTCAATAAACAAAAAAAAATGTAAAAGCGGCAGAGAACATCACAATAAAATGAGAGCCAATGATTTGACAGATGCTAAAAATGATAATGTACCTGCTGGGCCATAGCCCCCATCAGGGGCATGTTGGCCTGATGGAACGGCACCAGGCCGTCTTCCGCTTGCCTCGTCGGCTGAAACAGCCCCATTAACTCACTGTTAGTGCGTAATGTTTTTGCATAACGGTTACTCATGCATGCACCATTCACGTTTACACGTATCTCGTACAAGTTTAACCTTTCTTTTCTTTTTATATAGTTTTTCGCATTGAAAATTAAGCATTGAATAAACATTTTGTTTTCCGACTTAAAAAAAAGAGAAAGTTCTGTACCCGACATGAATGTTTTTGTGTATGTTTGCGTATATTTCTGAATCGGTTCAACCGATTTTGAAAGGGGTGGGTTCGTTTCAAAAAGGTCGCTAGCAAATTAGTCCCATTTAATTATTATTAACTTGATTGATGGAATAACTTTACAAGTTGTTGCAAAAATTAATTTGAAGTTTGCCTTATTTTTGCAAAAATTACTTGTGATTTGCTAGCAATACGAATGTAACAATGAACAGTTAAAATATATCTTTGAAAATGTAAATAATGAACATTGCTGAAATTATAATATAATTTGTAGACTTAGCGGTTTCTAATGCCGATGCGATTATATCATGGTTATGAGTTTTATCATTGATCAAAATTTTTTAATGATTAATTTATATATGGATCAAGCAATATAGCAACGTTTGAATATATAAGAATTAGTCTTATCAGTCAATTTAACACAATAAACATTTACCCTAAACATGATAATAACATCACAAATAATGAACAATATGATTAACACCATAATGGCAATGAAGGACGAAAGAGTCAAACTTACCTTTTTAATTTGTCTGCCAGATTCTCGTCTTGCGGGAAGCTTGGCATTTTTGTCCAATGGCGCATACAAGGGGTCAAAAGAATTAGCTGTGGGAGTCGTGGTATCAGCCTTTCTCTTCACGCCTTTTTTTAGTTTGGCGGGTTGTGAAGGTGGCATTACCGTTGCCGGCGTCGGTACCTGTATATTTAGCAAAATCTACTCTTAGTAAACAAACTTCATTTCCATGTTTACTTGTATCAGTATAGAAAAAGACACGAGCTAAAACTGAATGGCCATCTGTCGATGTATTTGCTTGTCATGTTGAGAAAAAAAACGAAATTTCCTCACAGGAAAGTATTTGTTAACCGATATATTAAGAAACATCTAGAAACTGTCTAAGAACCAGATAAATTAGGTAATGTACTAACTTGTGGTGCCAAAGTGGCCGCCTGGGCATCAATAACCGGTTGCGCATGATAACCAGTATTTGGAGGTACAACCTGCGGTGGCAGGGAATTGTGTGTGACCATGGAGGTAACGCCGGGTATTGCAACGGTTGGCGGTGCTATCGTGGTGGTATTGGTACTGCCGGGTACGGAGACGGGCGGTTGTGTGCCTAGTGATGGCATCGACGGAATGGCGCCGGTGGTGCCGGTTGTCGTAGCCGTTGGTGGCACAGCCATACTGTTAGGTACGCTCGACGTCACGGTCGTCGTTGATGCCGGCCTACCACGACCAGGTGTCGTCGGTGTACCTGGTACTCCGGGTACGCGAGCTGGTACTCCAGGCTTTTTTCCCTTTGGACCTTTCGGCACTGGTGGTTCCAGCTCCACTTCTTCCTTTGGCATTTGTGCAACCTTCGTGAGGAACAGCTTCTCTAATGTTTGTGCCATCACTACCACATCCTCGCCGGGTTTGTTGTATACATAACAATTAGAGAACATTGTGTTGAAGTCTTGAACGCATTCCTTGCCACTCCAGTAGTAACAGTTCTCTAAGCGTTTCTTTATCGTGCCCAAGTCCATTGGCTGTTTGATGATTTTGTGGTAGTCCTGCGGCGGCACATATCACATTAATTTCTATTATTTAGAGTATTTGTTCAATTTTCGAATGGAGTAATCGAAAGAACTTACCGGCAAATTGAGCTTCTTTGCATCGACAGGCTGCTGGAAAGGCCACGAAAATTGGTGCTTCCATAGTGGCTTGATAACACCTTTTTGCAGGAATTGAAGCTGATTCGTTATTCGACCGGGTCGGTTCGGCGGAGGAACGACCGGCGGCTGTACAACGCCGTTGACCGGCTCCAAAGGCGGCTCCTCTCGTGGAGGCGGCTCTTTAACAGGAGCTGTTGGCGCAGTTGATGCCTTGCCAGGGGCGCTCGTCTGTAATAACATATCAAGCAAACCCTATTTTTCTTACTTCTCCATGTGTCTTCATTAGCATTTAATATTTTTAGTCTACTGTTCAAAATAAAGCTGATTCTGATTCTATAAATTTAATCTGATACTGTATTTGTCCGTAAACTGTGCATATAGCATAGCAAAAAAATGTCAATGGCGTTTCACGGGGACTATGCTTATGCTATTGTATATAAAACACTACAACTATGGTTAGTATTTGTTGGGTTAATAAAGGTTTTGTCTAGTTAAACGCATGAATTGTCTACTGCTATGTCGAGGATGAGAACATGCATGCACAAAAGATAGACATAGAGGAAAGAGTTTGAGCAAAGTTGGCTGTAAAATTATAATACTTTCATACCAAGCTGTAGAAAATTATTTGTAATTATATACAGTCCAGTACCTCAATTATATAAAAGCCTTGCAATATACAAATGAAATTCATGAAGACTTTCACGCCAAATGCTGTGTTGTTTATATTTTATGTAGATAAGCATGGAAAAGAAAATGTATAGAGCGACAGATTTTGCTAATGAAAAAATAATGTTTGAGAAGTTTTAGATAAATAAGAGATTCCCATGCAATGATTTGCTGCATGTTGTAATAAAAAGTCTGTGGCCAAACATGAAGGTAAATGAGAAAAAAAGATAGTCGGCACGGTCTTAAGCAAAGACACTTAGCAATAATATGTATCGTCCGCTCCTGGCTATTACGATCAGATCTGAGGGTGCAAGTGACCATTTTCCTGAAACGTGGTATAAATGTTGTCCATATAGCAGTTAAATTTATTGAACAGGTCAACAGTTATAACAGTTACAACATGTTTATGAAAATTTATTAAACATTTATATCTCCGTGATCGGTGAAGTTATCGACATAAATTTTTTTCTGTAATAATGGTACAACCATGAACTATTAAAGTATCAATGCAAAATTATAGTTTTAAACTATATCTTCAAATACCTATTTTTTATCATTCAAATTATTTTTCCGCGGGATCCTTGGGCTTCTTTCTGAAAAACCTGTGTTAAAATTAAGAGTGCGGACATCATCTAAGAAACGGTTGAGACCTGATCTTTGCTACGTGCCTAGTCGACTTTCCTCAAGAATAGCGCAAGGATTCGTTAAATTTACTGCAATATATTACCGTAGTAAAGCCGATTAGAATGAATTCTAAGTGCATGTTCGACATCGTCCATCGAACTCGAAAGGTAACAATAGTCGGCTGGCCAGTGACGGCATGGTCGATTTAAATCGGTACGCTACTCGCCATCATCCCTTACTGCCTTTTCCTATAATATCCACTCTATGAATTCGATCCCCGCGACTCCGGTCTGAGCCGACAGTCCCGTGACCGGTTTGATGAGCGGTGTTGAATATGCACTTATTAGTAATCCTATATTTTACTATGGTGATATTTCATGTGCAGCAATTCTTAAGAAAGTCAAGTAGACTAGGCACGTAGCAAAGATTAACCAGCCAACAACGGCACGGTCGACTTAGACTGGTTCATCGTTTGCTATCATCCCTTGCTGATGCCAGCTCTGTTTATTTTAACGTTGATTCTTTTAGTAAAAGTCTAAGGAATCTTAACTGAGAAAGAATTTTTGAGTTAGAAAGTACGGTTTTTGTGATATAATTATCTGTTTATAACATGGTTGATATATTTAATTTCTAAAAAATTTCCAAAATTTTTCCATGATTTTGTCCAGGCTGGAGAAATTTTTCTGATATCCGTGTCTTTTCAGATTTGTGGCAATCATTTGATATTAATAACTTTTTGATTATTGTTGAAAAGATGTTTTCGATAACTCATGATTTGATTGTTATTAAATAATTATTATGGTTATGAAAGGAAAGAATCAATATCCATAGCTCTAATAGTTACAGAAATATAAATGTTTGAAAAATTTTAATCAATTTTTTAAAATTATTTGTAACTGTTGGCCCACTCACCATAATAGTCTAATATTTTTTTATTAAAGTTCACTATAAAGACAATATTTGTATCAAATTTCAAGAAAATGAGTTACTTACACCCTCAAAACTGATTGTAACAACCTGCAACGGGCTACATATATCTTTGAGACATACTACAACAGTCTATAATCAACAAGGCTTCTCACCTTCGGTATATTACACAGCCTTTCTCGCTCCTCCACATCTAACTGTAATTCATACATACTATTCAGTCAAACGGGGGAATTATTTTACAAGTACTTAATCCTATCCTTTAAGGATAGGCTGTTACTCAAGCCTAATGGATTTCCTAGAAGCGGTAACAGGATGCAAAAATGAGCTAAAACTTAAAAGTGAAAAGAAAATTATTTCAACAAAAATAGTATGCAGATTCACTTTTACTTAAATATTGTACCTAACGCATTATTTTAACTTTTAATTAAGTGATTTCAAACGAAAAATGTGGAAGTGATATCAATTTAAAGTAATTTACAGTATAGTACATTATCTGAAGGGCTTGTTTACAATAGACGTAATTCAAATAATGAGAAAATGTTAGATTTTCAAATAGTTAGTGAATTAATGATGCTGCATTCTTAGTTATTGGTGAAATGAGTAATAAATTGAATTTTAATTTGATACTTACAGAGTTTTGCGAGAGTGTATCCACCTGCTGCATCTTGGCTTCAATTCTGAAACAAACAAAACAACATAACTCGATTATTTATTGAAACACATTGATTATTTATTGAATTTTTTCTTAAATTATCTAAAATAATATTAAATTACCTAATTATCTAAAAGTAAAATTAGATAAATCTATAGCTTAACGAACATCATTTAGTAGAGAGTAAACCAACCTATTTGACAAATATTGTACATAAATGCTACGTAGCAGGTAACTGCTATAAGTTGGTGATTAGCTGTACAAGACTTCATCAACAGCTTAGTTGATAAAAACAAACTCTGAACAGAGCATAATAGCTCAACAACTGGTCGCCAAGATGATGGAACCAAGGAGATTGATGGTGCAGATGCATAACACTAATCAAGTCTACCGAAAGGTAGGATCTTGAATGTTAGCCCTGTGTTTTCTCCCTACCACCAATCAGTTGTCGCAATACTAGCAACATCTGCAATATAAAAATGAATTGGATTGAATTTTAGATATTTAATTTGACTCAGATTTTATTTGAAATATAATTATCAATTTTTCATGTTTGCATTCACACAACAAACATACAGAATATACAGCTTGTCTGTTTCATATTTGATTATGATGCAAAAACCTATTTATTTTTATATAAATCAGTCGACCTTGGGTACATTATCAACTTGTAATTTTGATGCTGATACTTCCTACTTGAGGAAATCTCTTTAGATTATCAAATAATTATTTATTAATTATAAAATAACGCATAAAATAAAATAAAATAATGGGAAATCCTCTAGTGTCATGAAAAGCTATACTTAAGAAATGATGGAAATATCAAGAATTATTACTATAACCATATTACAGATAGAATTTTATAAAAGAAAAAAATGCTTTGAATCTAGGAATTTCACCTGCTCAATATCAACTTGGAAATTTCCTGTCATAAGCATTTAGATATTGTATCTCATATCGCATCTAAGATTTTATAATAAGCTTAACCCTTGCCACCTGCAATATAAAAATATGAAAAATATTGAGTCGATTCAATGTACGATTAGACTAGAAAAAATTTCAAGAAAATAAAAGCTATGCAAGAGAGAGTTTACTAAATTATGGTTTTCTTATCGAGCGACTTGGTGGAGTGAATCCATTATGCATGTATCTCATTCTATTTTGTGACCTACTTTGACTAAACAACGTCAAAATGTCTAAAAGGTACATTTAGTTTAGAGTATTTGTAATATAGATAACTCTTGCTGTAACTACAGCTTCATTTATACCTAAAATTTTGCTGAATTAGCAAATAATCATCTAATGAACAATCAATCCTGATAATCAACTCAAAGGAATCTATCACATGGCCACACAACTATCCAAAACAAACTAAAGCATAGTAACCATCACATTACACCCCACATTCATGTACCATTATAGACTAACAGCAGAGAACATAGACAACCACACAGACGCACGCTCGAACACACACTTGATCCGTTTTAGCTTAACGCTATCGGTTTGCAATGGTTCAAGGTTACAAGCCATGATATTACACGCAAAGCTGGCGCTTATCGCAAAACTATTGCATCTGGTGCCGTGGCTGGCATCTTATCCGCAAAAAATCGACGCAGTGTCCGCACGCACACAATTATATTATACGTACGCAGGCAGGCAGCAAGCAAGCAGCAGAGCCACGGCCGTGGGAGAGTGAGAGAGACGAAGCGATGCGAGGGTCAAAGTGGAGACCCGCGCCCACACGCACGAGTACACGGTGGTTTGGAAAAGCCCACTGGAAAAGTTAGTCCAACGATGAATTCAGCGTGGCAAGACTGATGTGAGATGATAATTAGGCCCGGAGGATGGAATAACGGGACTAGGTGAGAGTTTTTTTGGCGGCGCGAGTCCCGCGCTGAACCACACACACAGACACACGTACACACCACGGCGGCACGCGTCGCGTTTATAGCGGGCGCGCGCGATCTACAACCGGGCCTTCAAAACGACACATTCACCACTGAAAACACTTCACTTTATATCACAGACCACGAGGCAGAAGCTCTAGGGTAAATACCAACAGACAGAGAAGATCTACAACCTACTGGACAGTGGGCTTCAGACTCGCTTCTCGGCAGCTCGACTTGGCGTAGCTTTTCAGGCGACCATTCAACATGGCGGTGCTGTGTCGTGAGAGAGGGAGGAAGGCATGGAGGGGAGGACTGAAGCGCACGCGCACAACGCCAGACCTGCGCTGCCAGTCTGCCACAGACACACCGACCACGAATATATAGCTACACAGACGCCGCCGCAGCCGCAACCGTCGTCGCTGGCTGGCTCTACGCGCGCTGCGGCACACATATACCTGCGCACACACACATACATGCATACCCTCAGCCGCGAGACTCGCATCAGGCCAACTAACCGCCGGCGATTTCGCGCCGCGCCAGACCAGACACTGGCCTACTATCAAAGCGGGGGCAGCAGCAGCCAGCTCTACTGCATGACACACACAACTCACACGCACTCGAAAACACATTGGGAGAGCGCTCGCGCACGGGAACCGTTGGCCTTTCTCTCTCGATCCTTTTTTTTTCTTTTTGTATGTACAGTGTGTATGCGTGTACTTGCCCTGATGCGAGAGAGAGAAAGAGAGAGACAGAAGGTGGGATGGATACTTGACTTGACTACGAAGTGTCTCTTCCTGGCCGAGAGATACGCAAGGGTCATAGACCTTTGCAAGGTGCGCCTAAAGGGGGACCTTCGAGACTTTTGTTGATGAACAGTTTTGTGCTGTTAGAGGTGTGACCCAAGATTTCTGAAGACTGATTGTCTGTGTGTGATGATCTTTCTCTTCTTCAAGGTATATAATGACTGAATGGACTACGCGTAACACTGAATGAGATATTTTTAGAAGCATTGCGGACCTCTAGCGAGACTGGTATTACATTGACCGAACTATGCTTTTCACGTTGTTACTCTAGGTCCAATAGTGATTTTTCTTCAAATTCATTAATTCGCGGACAATCAACTTTTGAACTGAGTCAAAGTTTGTTTGGAAAGTTACTCGCCATGAAGAAATCGTATAATTGCGAGAACAAGCTTGTCAAAAAAATTTGATGAACAGAAAAATAATGGATTTTTAATTAGGAATTGGCATTTACGACCACTTCTTGAGGACGTGGATAAGCGATTTTCCCAAAAATTGGTAAATGTTAAAAAGCGTTGCGTCGCCCTACGGCGCCAGATTAGCCCGACCGTCTCGCCGCTAGTTTCATGAGCGGCAATGAACGTGCAATTAGCATTTGTACTAATGAGGTTTGTAATAGTAATAAATACTATAAGACAGATTATCACCTGACATAAATTTAGCAAGTACCTACACAATGTCAATTCGACTGTAAAAAAAAAAAAATCAACGTTCGCATACGGATCCGTCTCAGCATTTTTTTCAATTGGATTCTGCCGCCTTTCTATATTAATAATCAATTGATAACAATTCAAGACGATAATATTCTCCAAGTTAAATAACAGTTCAAGAAAACAAAATTGTTGTTTTCCTGTTCACGTTCCTAACGTACATGGCAAAAATTGGTGAAACAATGACGAGACTATCAGCTCAGGTAGTCGCATTAGGGGAGCGCTTCGACCTAGCAAGTTTCAAGAATTATCTCACCTACCCCCAGACTTTACCGAAGTCAAACGTATTAGTCTGAAACGAACATACACAAATATTCGAAAGTCAAATTGCTTATTTTTATTTAGGTTTCAAGTTTTTTCATTTAAAATTCATAATTTGTCAAAAGATAGTAACTAGAGACATTAAGAGCACTTACTTTGAAACTTAAAATATGGAAGTATGAATTAAGAAAGGAATAATACAACAAATCGAAGAGTTGCTTAGACGATATAGTTGGAAATAACTATTAGCGAAATATTTATTCTTTTGGAGAGAAAAAAACAAGTGTTCAATAAAAAATTGCTATAAAAATTAGAGTCACTATTTAAAGAAGAATTAAAGAATGTAATATAATTTTAAACAGCATCCGATGCAATATGCACATTTTTATGTACGAATACAACTAATCGATACTGACTAGCTATAACACCTAGAAGATTTGTAAACAGGTCAAAATCCAACATTTCTAAATAAAAAAATAACCAGAAGTCACGAGATTGATAGCAAGAAAAAAGCTTAATATTAGTTGTTAATTAATATATTCCATAAGTATAATAATTCACCTACTAAGTAAATTAAATATATTCTGATTTTTTTATTGAAGAATACCAGTCCACAAAAAATAAAAATAATCTATGCTCTTGATAAGATCCATCTATTTTAATGTATTCTGACGCGCTGAATTCAATCCCGTGATCGAAATCATACATACATCTTCAAATTTCCGTCATTTTGAAAACGAAGCCCTCGGTTATTCCAATGGAAAATAGGAGAATCTAGTTTTGAAAGTACCAAGAATTACCAAGAATTTTGAGGCTGTATACCCAATTCCAACCTTGAATTCGGATTCAGTGTGTTAATCAGCGTGTTAAAATACATGTATATAGGCAGATTTTCTCAAAAGTACAAACTACTTTTGTTTTAAATTGATGAAATCTAGAGAAGTTTCCTCTTGTAAGATTAAATGATACGTCGATTACGATGTAAAAATACGAATACATATTTTTAATGAAAAGAACGATGAAAGTATTCGGAAAATCTTCGTGAACTGATTATTACCTCAGTATACTATTATTTCATATAAATACTGTAACAATTGAAGATTTGATTCGTGTTAATTGTACACACGTACACTTTGAACATATACTTGAACACCTAATATTCACGAAAACTACTTATCTCCTTATTAAAAATTAATGGCATCTAATTATTTTGTAATATGTTTTGCATGAAACGCGGACGCCTAGTAAAATGAATCGATATTACAGTCGTTGAAATTCAGTTGTTTATAAGCAAAAATTATTGAAGATACTTTCATCTACAATTTGGTTAATTTGCCAAAACTGTTGAATAAAGTTATGTGTTAACAGTAACTTTAAATCGTATTTTCTATTAATTTTCAATGCAGAATGTGCTATGAAGAATTTCAAAAATTGTCATAATAGTGGACATTTGTGGACATTATTAGGAAATACACGCATGTCATTTGAGATTAAACAAATGAGTAGAAAAAATTTTATAAAAATGTAGCTTTAATCCATGTTTTGTGCTTATTATCACTTATCACGAACATATCGAGAAAAATAAATCACTAAAATTTTTCTTGCTTATTTGTTTGATTTAAAATTATATATAGATCCCTGACAACTACAAAAAAAATGTTAATTAGTTGTTCAAAAAGCAATATTTCATAACACTTTTCATTGAAAATTATTAGAAAAAATTATAATTAAAATTATTGTTCATAGATAATTTTATTGAAAAAGTTTGGCACGAGTATTAACCCGACCCGACACACTAAGGCCCATACTAAAGTTGTGTGAGCTAGCACACTCAACTCTTCCATTCATATAGCATAGGTGAAAAAAAATTTTTTGTCATTTATAATTTATGACGTATTTTTTGTCATTTGTAATTGTTAAACTTTATTACACTAATCAATTTTAAGGAAATTAGTTTGTCAAGAGAATAAAATTTTTACAATTTGTTTAAATAATTTTTTATGAACAATTAAGTGGCAAAAAAAAACATTTTGTTCATGAATGCTATGAATGGTATTGTTCGTTTAATTCTATCCCACGCGGTTTTGGTATGGGCCTTAATGGGTTGAGTAGATGAACTAAATTACAGGAGCAAGCAAGCAAGACAACAAAATTTTCAGGCGCTGACGAGGCCCGAAAATTTCATATTGCATCTGCTCTCAATTTTTGTCATCGTATTTCATGCAAAAATAACAACATTACGGTAATTCGAAAATAAAGTAATTTTTTCCCTGTCGCACTCCAATACGTATATTGTTATGTGCTTGGTCAGCGACTGCGCGGCACGAGATCGCGTATGTACGAATGTATATAGATGCAAGATAGTGTATGTTCGTGACGGCCCTCATGTTACAGGATTTTTTGATGTTTCCAAATATTTGCTCAAACCCCTAAATGAAGATAAGTTTCATTTTAATAGCTTTGGGCAAAGATAAAACTTTGAGAGGAATAATGAAAATATGAGAAAATCTGAAATTGGAACAAGATAATTATGCCAGCCAGAAGAGAAGGGTCGGGTCTACGATACTCTGAATGTTCAGTATGTTCTCACCTCTCCAAAAACCCATGGTTCGTATCGACAACTCTTTCTTCACATTAATTTCACCCTGAGGATCGCCCGAATAAAAAAAGGAAGGACATGGGGAAAACCCGTGTGTCAGTCACACACCACACGTGCATCATATAGATAAACGCTCTCGAAGTCCGCAGTAACACTGTTTGGACCCGGGATCCCGTGGAATTAACACACTCGACACAATATTTTCTGCGACGAAAAATTCATTATCACACATTGGGTGCATCAATCAAACCTTCATCCATGTCACATCTCCATCGACGACACACGCGAGAAACTCGATACACACGGAGAGCAGTGCCGCCCCTCGCTTGCGGGCACTCCGTGAGTCGTCCGAATTCCAGCGTTCCGCGCATGAGAAAGAGAAATAGAGATAGATGACGTAGTAGCAGAACGGTGAATGACTGTCAGCTTGACGCGATGACGAGACTGCGCGAGCGAGAAGCAGCCGTTGATGATGAGAATCTGTTGATTTTCTTGCAGCGATTGATGCTTGATACGGATTGTTTGTTTCGTATACTGATAAAGGATTTAACGGCGATTCGAAGCTGCTTTAAGCGATGTAGCGGCTTGTTTTCTCAAAAGCAAAAGTGAAATCGATAATACGTGCAACATAAACAATTTTTAACTTCAAACTAATATAGAAATTCCTGAACAAGAAAACAAATTAATTGATTATTGCGATATATACCTGTTAAAAAGACCGTTTTTGAAGAAAAAATGTTCAGGAATATAAAAATCGTCATAAATAAGAAAAAAAAGTGAAAAAAATCATTACCCAATACACAGCATATCTGACAACGAAGGCCTAGATGATGGAAAAATAACACAACAGAGTACTTGAAACAAAATGAAAATAGGTTGAAAAGTTGATCAACACTTTGTTATAATTTTACCACTGGTCAATCAACCCGAGTAAAATTACAACAAAGTTAAGAATCTAATGAAACGGTGAAATAAACGGCTGGTAAACATCATTGAAAATGAAAGTTTATTTATTGTATTTTTAAATAAAAAATTACAATCTAAAACTATTGTTGAATAATATTATAAATTGAATGCCAAAGACTGCAGAATACTGTTGGAAAAAAGTTATCAATAATTAGAAATTTCAATATCACAGTTACAAAAATTATCACATCATATTTCCAACAAAAAAGCCAGATTAAAACTGTAATTCGTAAAGGGAAAGAAAGCGGCGCTCCGATAAATACACCCGAAATTTTTCAAGCAAACATCATTCTTATGACGCTTCATCACTGCACGTTGGTAAGCTGACGGTCATTCGTCTGTCGCTCACTCGCTCCCTCTCTCTCTTTCCCCTCCCCCCGTCCCTCTTAACATCGCGTGCGACAATGTGTGTGTGTGTCGTATCATAGTGTTTCATTTCTCCCTTTTTCCTTTGCTGAATACACACGGTCGCGCCGCGCGAGGATGATGACACGCGAAGGAATTCGGCTCGGCTCACGCATCGGAATTCCGCGCGCACAGCTGACGTGATCATAACCTCCAAACTTATCGCACTTACCAAAGGAGCACCGTGGTTATGTATTTCTTTCTCCACACTCTGTGCCCTTACTTAGTCTCTCTCCTTCTAGCTACTGTCTCACACGAAAATCAAGGGGCTCTGCGTTTATTGTTTACAGATTTTTCGTGCTTGTCTTTCGTTTGAGATTTTAAGTGGTAATCCAATCAGCACTTGTTTGCCGCGCATTTAACCACCCCACGCCGATGTTGGCCGAATTCGCGCGCGCAAAAAGAAATGATCGTAACTGAGCGGCGAGATGTTGAATCGACCGCCGGCGGGAGCGGCGTTCGGTGAGTCCACAAGCTTGGGACGCACACGCGCGACTGCTGCACGGAAAACCGACAGCGCCACGGCTGCTGCCGTTTCTTCACTAAAGAGCGGGGGAGGCGTGTTCCAACATGGCGATCAAGGCACCTCCACGAGCTATGAACCACAGCAACGCTTAAGCGTCTATATTGGTTGATCACAGCGAGATTCTATTTTTTTCTTATTGCGCGTGCGTTAACGCAACAATCGCACTTGATGATCAATCTTTCAATCTCGCGAGCAACTTCTCTATAGGATTCAAGGTCGCGTAGGTGCCTCGTACACATCATGCGGCGTCAAAGAAATTCTAACAAACCGCTTGATAAACATGGCAAAAGATACAAGGCTTTTTTCAAATTTTTTCGTAGTTTGTGTGTATTTTTATTACCAATAATCGTGAGAGAAAGGTTAATGACCCATGGAAGCCCAAAGTGTGTACGTGTTAACGTCAATGGTTTTGTATTTTTGCTTTGTCCGTAGCGTAACGTGGTGCTCTATAACCGAAAAAATAACGTCGTACGTAAGTAGTAGGCGAAAAACTGACGCGGCGCGCCTCGCCGACGGCCATTTTTATAGGCTTACAAGACTACGCGAGTAGATTGATCGTTCGTGTGATTTGTCACGTAATCGTTTTATTTTTTATTTAACGTATAGATTTGTCAAAATTTTTATAGGAAAATCATTCGTGAATTATTCGTCACACAGGGAAATAATAATCCACTCTAACTTTCGCTATCTTTATATTACGTAAGATGTTGGTATGCGATTGACGTCTAGAATACTTCATGAAATATAATGTAAATATTAAAATTCGACTATATTTTATTTTTTATTCAATATTTTACAATTTTATTCGTTACTATTCACTAGTATTCCGATTCTGCCCGAGATCCTTCTTCCTGTTTATGCGTCTCAATAACAGTCAAAATTTCACCGTACCGTGATAGAGTAAAAATTCGACACACTGAGCACAAAATATAAATTTAAAAAACGTTATTAACGACGTAAAAGGCTTACAATTGTACTTTCAAAATATAAAAACTTTTGCACACGAGACGTGCACACCAAACATGCTGCGCAGAAGACTGCTTCCTGCCACACAAAAAAACAAAGTCTATGAATGTGGAATCACACAAAAATAATGACAAGACTACGATTAAAACACTTGCGCGAATTTTATCAAACAATCGACTATGAAAACTCGCGTAACTTATCAACGTTAAATGCTTAGACGTTTATTTTAACTAAGTCATACTGGAAGGAACGAAAGTCAAATATGGCTACCGTGTCACGGGTCTCCGAGCGACTTGACCGTCAGAAGGAATGTTGTTGCAGGAGGACGCGCGAAAAAACGGCCTGTAGCCGAACGCTCGAACACCGTGATATTTCCGTTACTCGCGAAATAATAGCGAATGCGAGATCATTTTCTCGGGACGTCGCGAAGTCTCGAGGACGGCAACCTTTCTCTCCCCGGGCCCCCGAAAATATTGCTCGCTTGAACACCGTGGTGATCAATTCAACGAGTTTAACTCTTATATTTCCGGCCACTGGTGGTGGCTCTAACTTTTGGTGGCTATGTATTCTTGTATGGGCTCACGCGATTGGTAGAATGATCGGTAGCGTCCTTCACGGCAACCAATAAGATATCAAGTGTTATCAGAACGATTGTGTGGAATTTACTGGAAGGCTTATAAGAGGATGTTGGAGATCAGCATTGCGCGCGGAGATTTAAAAGTAGACAAAACTGAATTACTTTCCTGTAAAGCACTTTTATATATTTCTTATGGTTAAAATGAGTAAAACATGTTAACAAATTGTAAAACTTATTAAAATATTTAGTCAAATTTTTATTTTAACTTTTTTCATTACGGATTATTATACAAAAGACGGTTTTAACACTTGAATTAAAATGAAATATTTTATATAACAAATAATCTTCTTGATTTAAATCTCAGTTCACTAAGACTTTGTAAATATTAAAATATGCAATAGAAATTTTTGAAAACGGTGAAATAATTAACAGTAAAGCCATGGAATGCTACTTATTACGTAATTTTAATTTGTTATATAATTATTTCATTATCGCGTCTGACAATTTTGATAACAAAAATGTTCTTATTCGCTAATAAAATATGAGCCAAAAAGTAAATGTTAATTGCTTTCTTAACATTGGCACTTTATTTCATATCTTATACAAAATAAAAGTTTCGAATCTTTTCTAGGCTAGGACAAAGTAGTATGTATTTCTACACAAAAACTGTTCTAAATTAAATAAAGTGAAAATAAAACATTATTCAGTAAACTCTATTATAGTTTTTAACTTTGTAATATTAATAAAAATAACCACATGGATTTTACGTAGTTTATACAAGTATAAAAAATGGCCTACAACTTTTTTCACGAAAATGTTTTCTAACGTCAGTACAAAAGTCGAGTGTCGCGTAATTTATTTTATTTAAAAAATAATAAAAATATGACAATTTAAGAAATGTCCTATCTTATGAAATAAATATTTCTGTCATATTATTGAAACGTAACTAGACCAAGTCTTTCTTACAACAGTTATTCGATGTCATTTTATACGTTAATTCGTTCGAGTTGGGTATAAATTCTGAATACACTCGCGGTCATCACTGATAGAGTAAGTTATTTATACATTCGAAGATTTAATTTCCACTTCTTCTTTCGGCATTTGTGCGATATTCGTAAGAAAGGTCTTTTCAAGGAGTTGCGCCATTAAGACTACATCCTCGTTTGAACTATTGTATGTGTAACAATTGGTGAACATTTGATTGAAGTCCCTTATACATTCTTTTGCGCTCCAGTAGTATCGATTCTCCAAACGTTTCTTTATTGTTCCTAGGTCCATGGGATTCTTTATAATCTTGTAATAATCCTGCTCATGACATACGGAAGTCAATTAGTATAACGATTGTAAGCTTTAAAGAATAAAATTATATATGAAAACAATTATTGCTCGCTTTATTAAGAATCGAATTATTTGAATACGATCTTCAAGAATTAACGTTCATCCTTAGAATCATTTAATCGAATATATGTAATAGAATAAATGTTTGAAGTTAATTTATGAGTTCTAATTAATAAAGACACATGCATGAATTCATTTACATAGAGTATTCGAAACTTTAGAGTCGGTTGCAAAACATTTTCTAACTATAGGTCGAGTTCTTAATTGCAAATGATAATCCGAATTTCAACACGAATTCGAATCATTTTTAACAAAATGAACGGAAAAAACCTTGGGAGTATAAGTACATGATATTAAGGTATCAATACATACAGGCAAATTAAGTTTCACTGCGTCAACTGGCTGTTCAAAGGGCCATGCAAATCGATGGTTCCATACAGGCTTGAATACATTTTTGCTAATGAAATCAAGTTGATTTGTTAATCGACCTGGTCTGTCGTGCGTAGGACGGACTGGTAACACTGGGACACCATTGTTAACTTGACAAGGTGGCTCAGCCAGTGGAATTTGCTGGAAATTCGTGAAATTTGTTATTATAAATTAATATGAAACGAAATATCCAATAAAGGAACATGAAATATGACACAAGTATAAACAAGTCGTATCGTGTTATTTCGCAGAAATGCGAAAATTGAAATTGTATAAACATTAGGAATCAGTCCAATTGCTTACTTTGTTATCTTGCCTGATTGAATCCTCCGAGCTCATGGTAAGTCGATTCTGAAAATGAAAGTCTATCATGATTTCTCGGGAACGCTGCCGTATGTATGTGTATGTATGTGTGCGTGTGTGTCCGTACACTGTTCTATTGTGTGCGTACCTGTTCATCGAAATACCTGCATACGAAAAGCTCAAAAACTACTGCCGAAAAGAAATAAAATAATTTATAAAAAATATCAAAATCTTAAAGAAATTTAAAGCATTGTATGTAGAAATATAATTTTTGAAGTAATAAAATACAACTAGAACAAAAAAAACTCGGAAACTACTCGATATCCCAATATTTCGCTACACAACGAACTAAGGCATTCACAGAAGCTCATAAGGAATCTTACGTAAAAATAATAAATATTTCTCAGAAATGTAATTATACCTGACAATAATTTTATGGGTGACGTCGAGGTGGCTTTTGTTATCAATTCAATCGACGTAAACAGTGCAGAAGAGACTGAGAAAATCTAATTGACCTAAAGTATTTTGAACGTCAGCTGTTCTTTGTATAATGGGTCAGAATATAGCTAGCAATATCAGAGGATTGGCCGGCAACTCGATGGCGTCCCTTAGTGGCAGCCAATGGCGGCAAACGACTTTATGTAAAAAATCGCGATTGATAGTATGTTGCCCGCGTGACTTGACTCTGGTCAAGCAGTTAACTTTATAAATTGTATTTTAATTACTAATAAAAATATTTGTAATTGCCCGTACTTACATTGAAAATAAGTGACACACGCAATTTTCCGGGGCAAAAGAGACGTATTATACAATATTAATTATTTTAAATATCATACGGTTGAGATACATATATATAATGTATATATTTTTTGCAAGTAATTCTCTATATTCTTCTACTCTTTTCAATTTAAATACTTTATTCTTACCTGAATTGTTGTTAACTAAATCCGTGTTTCTTTGCCCGTTAATAAATGCTCTTTAAATCCATTGGAATCTAATTTAGAATATCTACCACAATGACTTCTTTTTGTTATACTTGCAGAAGAAAGTAGAATGAAATGATTTAAGTGAATACAAATTTTATACAAACAGTATTTGGGATGATTCATTTTACCATAGAAATATATATTTTTCAACATTCTGTGCGAAAAGCGCATCTTTCAAGAACAACTTGCACTAAAAAGTTTAGTTTTCCATACGTTGTATAAAAAAATATACCTATTATATAAAATGTACTATCTTAAGTAAAAAAAAATGAAAGATTAGCGAACCAATAAGTTTGTGAAATAACATACTTCAAATAAATAGTATTGTAAAAAATTACAGTCTGTGATATTTTTCAATTACACCAACTGTTTTTAATAAAAATACAAATCTATTTTCAGACAAAGAATTAAACTACTCCATTCTATTGTTTTTGGTTTGAATTCATTTTATACATAACTTTGACATAGCTTATTTACAAAAAACTTACAAATACTTCATTTAGCAAAGCCTATGATTTGTTATATCAATTAAACTATTTACCAACTCATTGTTATATACAGTAAGTATACAAAATTACCTAAAATATAAATGGTAATATAAAAGTTTAATACATAACGAAATGTATTTCTTTCATTCATATAATAAATATAAAATGCAAAAACCTAACTTAAATTATTTATACTACTCCCCAAACTTCTTCGAACCCTGAGCATATTTTACTACATGTTACAGCAGCAGAAAGTGGGTAATTGCTAATGGAAAAAGTCTCTTCTTGGTAGACAGTCTTTACCTAAAATTATGAATGTATATTTAATACATTAAAATGAAAGTAATAGCAATAACTTATTGCTCTTAATTAACAGCATGCATCATTAGCACTACTCAAATTCCAGAATGAAATTGAATTCAGTGAATGAAAACACTCACTTGACCATGCGCCATAGCTCCAATGATAATAGTGATAGGTTCATCTTCCGGAACTAAATCTCTAGGATTTTTAATTGATTGAGCACTATAAGACATACACAATTTTTTACATCCAACAGGCAAATGTTGAGTGATGGGATTTTTAATAACTTTTAACAGTTTCATTCGTTTGTCCGATGCCTGTACATGGTATTTATGAAGAAGTTGCACTGAAATAAATGCGACAGTTCAAGAAAGATGTCATGATTGTATTATAATTTAATTGTTTGAATGCACATAATTTCAAGAACAAACAAAAATCAAAGCTTGAAAATTATTATTCATCTTACCCATCAATCCTGCAAATCGTTTAAATGTTCGTGGTATTCTTGTTTGTGGGTTGATTTCAATCAATACATTCTTCTCTGTGTGAATGTAAACTTGCAGTAAACCAGCTCTGTTCAACGGACTATCCATAAGCATAAGAAGACATTGATGTACTATGTCTGGTCGGCAGCTCCCAGCATCTCTGTTATTTTTCTTCAAAATACCAGTGTGATCATCGCAGTTTAATAATTCAAAACTGCTGCCAATCTGCAAATTGCAAATAAATTGAAATGAAATTTCATATCACAATAAAAAAGTTGAAAAACATGTATGACATATCCAACGTAAATACAGAATCTGTATGTTACTGTAGAAATCTGCAGTAATATTTTATTAATGAGTAAAGCTTCTATTCAATTATTTTTAATAAGAATTTTGTTAAAACTGTTTATTCATTCTGAACTAAAGCATATAATTCTATTGCAAGATTTGGCAGTAATATGTACAAAACAAATATAAGATTTTGAAGTCATTTGTATCAAGTAAAAGTAAAATGTTAGAATTTTTAAAAAGAAAATAAATTACCAATATATTTTCCAAACTCTATAACTATCAGTTTATCAAATTTAAAGCTTCTTTCAAATAAAATATAACCTCACCTTGACAGATTCTAATTGGGCATTCTCCAAAATGATAATTAAACGTTTCTCTTGATGTTTGATGTGGGCCGTTTGTAGATGTTTTGAAACAGGATCGAATTGTGATTCATCATCATCGTAGTGTTTCCTTTTATTTCCCATTTTTGGCTTAATAAATTGCAATGTGCACGCGCAATGCGTAAATATACAATACGTTTACGGATTGCGTGGTAACGCGGTTTGTTGGGTTCCCACTTTTTGCTACAGAGGGCAACAGCTCTCGGTATCTAAAATTATAGTTTCTTGACTTTAAAGTAAGTTGTTTAGAACATAGAAGTCATTTTTTATTATCCTAATCTCTCCTAAATATAATTGGGAAATTGTGAGTTACATTTTGAAAAGTAATCATTTTCCAATTGTCATTTATGTCAGTATCAAATTCTTATAACATAGAGTTAATTATAGATTTAATCTTAAAATATTACATTGGAATTGTTTTGTACTTAAATTATAGGATGAAAAACTTAAATTATATCAGAGTTTTTTCAGTAATGCTGCTTATAAACTGCAATGTTATCTTAAGATATAGAATTTTGATTAAATGTCTGAATAAATTGATAATTCATTCATTGCCGTAAAATATAATTTATATACAAAATATATACAAATTATATACAAAATATATACAAATTATATACAAAATATAAATTATATGCAAAGGTTTCTCTTAATAAAAATAAAAATAAACAATCGATATGCTTATAGTAGAATGAAGCTTATGATAGAGCAAATGAATGTAGGAATGCCTTTCTCAAATTTATTAATTAAATATGAATGTCCGGATAGGAAGATTTACAGTGCTAAAAAACTTGCTGTGTCAGCCATCAAAACTTTACACAATGAAAAACAAAAATCCTTTGTATCATTTTGTCAAAAAGTTAATCATAATACAGAAATAAGCGATATTGGAGAATTGTTGATATTTTTAATATAGTTTTAATGAAATTGATGAAAGTAGAGGCAACGCAAAAACTGAACAAAATATGTATGACTATATTTGAACTAAGTTGTCCCCTAAATCTATTTATTCAAATGCTCAGAACATTTAAATGATTTAATTTTTTCAATAGCTTTTTTTCGTATGAAAAGGTGCTGTCTTGAACAATGTTAACGCGAAATCTACTCCAGAATTAGATAGAATTAGTATAGCATCGATTATTCATAATTTACGAGAGTTTTATCATAGATTTTTACTAGATCTATATATAATGATAATTACGAGTATTAAGACTTTTCTGAAGACTGTAATAACTATTCGAGTCTGCAAAATATAAGCTTATCAAATTTGAAAAATAATAAAAATTGACGAAGTTATTGATTCTTAAATAAAACAAAAAACCACATTTTTCGCACTTTTAAGTTAAGGTTATCAAAAAACCTGATTGACGTAATGGAGAAATTGTAAGCCTGGATTTGGTTACGCCGAAAACACTTCGGAATTAAGCCTCAAATCTTCCATAACAAAACCATGCAGATCTGTGTTATTTAGTAGTTTTTATCCCTAAAGGTAATTCTAATAAAGTTAGATCTATTTCATTAGCCTCTAATATGCTAAAGATCATGAAAAACTAGTCAAAGATAGACTACAGTGGTGGTTAGAAAAATTGGATTTTCTCTCTTCTTTTCATTTTGGTTTTACAAAGAATAGGCCATCTACCGAAAATTAAAATATTTTAACTTCAGAAATTCACAAAAATGTTTTTAATAAAAAATCCGTTTCGGTTCTTTTCTGAGATGTTCTGAGGTGCTTATAATAATGTTGTTTTGGATATATTAATAGATTATTTCGTTAAATTGGATTTACTGAAAGAAATTATTAAATTTATTGAAAATGTCATTTTTGAACGAACGGTTACATTCTGCACTTTTATTACAATTGTTGAAAGGACTGTTTACTTCAAGGTACTGTTCTAAGTTTACTGTTAAATATAATTTATACAAGAAAAATTTATAAAGTTAAAAAAATTGATATTAAATAAGTTTTTAGCAATTTAGAATTTGTGGATGATATTCTTATTAACAATAGTAACAAAGTTATTTATATCTATCGATTAAAGACTTTAAAATCAAAATTTGTCCTCATTTCTGAAGTTTTATGTAACAGATTTACAAATTACACCTGGATAGCGTGTTCTTATGATCTTTAACAATGTTAACGAAGATAGTGACAAAAAAATCGCTACTAAAATTAATAATATTTGTATTCCTTCTTTTGAAGAAATTAAATTTCTAAGCATGACCTTAGAATATTGCCTCAACTGAAAGGTACTCATGGCAATGAAAAAGCGGACTATAAAGCTAAATCAACTGCTAAAAATAGCTAGTTAATGAATGATCCAATCATGGCATAATAATCGGTGTCTGATTATTATGTTATGATTATTTCCAAAAGGGAGTATAATGAAAAAAACGACAACATTATTATTAACCTAAGTACGAATAAAGGATGTTTCTTTTTTAAATTTTAAAATTTTTTTACCAATGGTAATAACCTTTGATTCTTTAATTTAGGTCTATCACGAAAAAGCATAGTTTCTATTAATAAAACAAGATGTAGTCATTTTTCTGTAAATAATAACCCATTTCTTGAAAATATTGTTACTACTAGCGTTTATAAGTGCAGATTCTTTAAAAACTTCATATTAAACCTGTTTTTTTGGTTATTCTCCTCAAAGAAGTTAAAGAATTTTATAAGTATGATACTTTATCGTTTCGCTCTTAGATTAGAATAATTTAAATATTATTTATAGCAACATATATCAAATGAATAAATTATAAAATTTTAAAGAAAAAAACGTAAATTAGGTTCAAATTTCGCGTCTAACTTGAAGACATATCCTAAGTATTTTTTTTTGTGAGCTAATAAAACTACTATCTACTTATTATAGTTTTTGAATTTTACTCGAATAAAAAGCTTAATTAGTCAGTTTAATAATTTACGAAATTAATCACAGTATAATTAACAATACGTGAATTAATCGTTCTTTTCGTCTTTTAATACTGTCATCTGAGTCAATCGCTTGTTATAAAATAGAGATTTCACCATGTGCAGATTTCCACAGCCTGTCTTTTCCGAAAAACGCTTTTCCGAAATATGAAACAATACCAATAACAGGAATTCCATTAAATATTAACATTTAATTCTATCTGTGTGACCTACAGCTATGAGAATTGTTTTTTTTGAACACTGATTTATCTGCAATGAAAAGTAAGATAAAATTCTAGCTGCATTACTACTGTATGAAATGCACTTTAATCAACGAATTGTTATTAATGTAGAAAAATATGTATTTCGTAATACATTAGAGTTAATCTTAAGCTTACATATAATGACATTAAAAATGTTGAATAATATTTACATTGAGCATTAAATTACCACCTACTTATCTCCTTAAAGCAAAACCTTTCCGTCGGCTCTTCGTATCCACGAGTAACTGAGCCTGTCGTTTCAGGAAGCTTCTCGACGGAATATCCTCCTCGTCTTCCGACGGTTGAGCTTGAGTTGTTGGTATAGTGATGATTGCAAACAGTGGAAATAATGGTTGGTCTTCTAGGTTGATTGGTTTCGTGGGTTCAGAAGCTGTTTCAAGTGACGCAGCTTCGATCTAAAATAGCATAACAGTTAAGACAAGATAAATTTTACTTAAAAATAAAACAATTAATTTGAGCCTTACTTTGTCGCTCAGCATTTGATCTAGAAATTGATTGAATGATTCCGGTCCTCCTAATGTTGCAATAAATTTGTTGATTGTGCCGTTAAGTTTATTCAAAACTTTCATTGCGTCAAGTGTGTCGGTTTTTTCTTCGACTACGACTAGTCCGCTTTCCTGTTACAGCAATATTCAATGACGTTTTGACGATGAGCTTTTCAATCGTTCATTTAAAAACACTTACGCGCAGTTTATCGCAGAAAGACAGCAATTTTTCAGCGAGTCTCTTCAAAGTATTCTGATGCTTGGTCATTTTTTCAGCAGCGCCATCCTGCCGATCACGCTGTTCCTCAATTTGTTTATCGAGTTTCTCCACTTTGTCAGCGTTTCTACAACAAACGGGAAAACGCGCTGCAAGCATCATTCCAAAGCGATTTTCATTGACTCGCCCTTACTGATCAGAATCCTTGGTTTCCGAAAATTTATGCATTTCGATCTCGACGGTGAGTTGCTGTCTCCTCTTCTCAAGCTGAATTTTTTCCTCCTCGGCGTTGGCCTGCATCTTCTTAAGCTTCTCCTTGGTGGCTTTTTGCGCCAAGAATCGGTTTAGCACATCCTCGGTCCTTGACACTCCTGTCGCATTGCGTAGTTTCACGAATGACTCCTCCAATTTGTCCAACTCCACTTGCCGAGGATCTTGCACTTCTTCCACTGATTGGTGCTGCGCATCGTGGTTTTTGTTGCGACTCGGCGCGAACTCGTCTCTCGTTACTGCTCTCGTGGAAAACATCATGCGCTCCAGGCGCTCCAACTCTATTTTTCGATCTTCTACCCGTTTTCTAAAGACACCATTAAATTGGACACTTTTATTGTGTACGTATGTCATTTTATCGTTACTTGATGGAGCAACGTTTCCTTCGTGTTCGAAAGGCGTTTTTTTCTGGAGACTAATTATTTCCTCACTATACCAAAACATCTGATTAAAGCACGACGGTTAACACTACAATAACTTGCAAAGCTAATTTATCAAAAAATAATTTGTGGCGATTTTTCCCAACGCTTTGCAATGTGGCAGAAAAGAAAATATCAGGATACTGTCTGGTCGCATGATAAATTAATATGAAACAGCAACAGTATAGTTTTGCAAAGCCGTACAATATGACAAACCTCACCTATATTCCTGAATAACAGTTTCTCGCTCCTTGGTCGTATGCATCGCTTCGATCTCCTGCTTCGTAAGAGTTTCCTTGGTCGTATCCCGAAGTGCAATCGCTTCGGCTTTTACGTTCTACCCGCCAGATGAATAGCGACAATGAAAAAAAAAACTGTTACACTTAAAAAATCAATGACACAGAACAAGGCTCATTACGTAACCTGAAGCCGGTTAATCTCGCTTTGCTGCTCGCGTATGCTCTCCTCCAAGCTGTCCAGGTAGGACGCGTAGAACGATGCATCTGCTTTGAGACTCGCCCTCACCGATCTGTATTTTTTGCGCACAGTGTCAGCTTCCATCTGCATCACGCTCACGCGATGCAGCTGGTTTTCCAGCCGCGTCATTGTCTGCGAGCACACATCCTTTCCTTAATTAATCATCGCCAATACTCCAATATTCTTTCAGCTTTTTTTACTGATTAAACCTTTTTACTCTGGATCGATGATGGTTTCAATGCTCCCATTTTGATTACTTTTCCATTTATCAGCTCGTCGTATTCTTTTTGGAGTAGCAGTAGTTTTTTGGTTTTCTAGACAATCAAATTATATTTTTGGATAATTTTATGAATACCAAAAGAAAATTATTCCAAGATGATTTATCAGACAGCTCTGTCACAATTATTAAGCAACTTAAGCATGCTTTTAAAAAATTGTGACGTTTGGTATTGGTACGAAAATCAAGCATGAAATAAAAGTAATACAAATTAGGCAACTTGATCAGTCAAACTTGTAATATGTAACAAAATCGTTTAGTTATAATGCAAAATCTGCATAGATAGATCTTTATCTTTAACTTGAGCAGTAGTTTCACCATATAACTGATTATGGATTCATAAAAGTAGCCATCTTTGTTTTAAAATATAAACTAAAATAAAAACTAAGAAAAGTAAATAAATTACGGGAATGTAAAACGACATTTTCCGTGATTAAAATTACTATGTGCGATTTCACGACGAATTCACTCGTACGAAACAAATCAGTGAACAAAGTTATTCAAAAACATGTGCAAAGTTATTCGCAACATTTATCTCATTAGTGCAGAACGACAATTAAAAAGCGAAAAAGTGCGAGAGCAAAAGCTTAATTAAGCAGCGTAAGAAGACATCCAGCGCGAAAACGAAGAGCCTCAGTAAAGAAGGAAGGCGTGCGTACGTACCTTGTCGACTTGGTACTTGACCAAGTCGAGTTTTTTGCGAAGGCGAATGTTGTCCTCGTCGAACATCGCATTTGCCTCACGGAGGTTCCGCTTCTTTATTATTGCGGATGATTCGCGGCTGAGGCTTGATGCGAGTCCAGCCGCCTCGTTGTTCTACAAACGAATGGATGATTAGATGGCGAAGACTTGGTTGGAGTCGCAATATCTAGTTCTCGGAAAAAACGCAATAAGCCGACAAATCTAAAGGCGGCCTTATTCCCCGCAGCTTGTCATTAGAACTCGAACGGAAAGAGGAAAAAATGTTTCGGTAAGGAAAAAGAATGCGGATTAGACGCGGACTTGGAAGCGATAGTTTCAGCTAATTAAGCCTCGATGCTAGAGTATATGGAGAGAGATGCGTCGTGGCACGCATCTAAAGCCGATAGTACGCCGTGCGCGGCTGTATCTCGCGAGCGTCGGGGATAATTGCGCTGGCGTATGTGTTTGTGTGTACGCAGAGCCGAAAGATAAACGAGATGCGTCAATTACAAGTACATTCTTAGCCTTTGCGAATTCCAGCTGCAGCTCCTTCACTTCCCTCTTCAGCCGGCCTATGCGATCGCTGCTCTCGCGTTTCTTCGCGTCGCATTCCTCGAAATTCGCCTTCCGCTGGCCCTCTGCAATCAGTGTCACATTCGATTAACGAATTTATGGGCAAAACAAGTGGCCTCGGCCCGGTGGCACTTCCTTGTCCTGCGATCAGCTTTCAGATTCATTCGCTCTTTCAGTACTTTTCTTTGCAATGCCAATTTTCACGCGGACTTACCAGGTAAAACACTCATTAAAAGTCATAACTTGCGTACCATTTATGACAAACTGTCAACTTAATCGCTTACCAATCGATTCGTTGCAAAAATAGCCTATGGTCATTTTTTTTCAAATTCATTATTGCCGTGAAATAGAACAAAAATTTGTATTATTCTCAAAGATATTCAATTGACGAATTTCATCTGGATGAAATAATTAATAGACGTTCTCCTCGAACGTTGATTAAAAGTAAAAAGTTCACAGCTATTAAAAGTGTCTAATTATACGCCCCAGCGAGTTGCCCATAAAAACCAAGCGACTCGAGCAATACAAAAAAGCCCTCAACGCATTAGTTCTCATTAAAAGCCTCAAACAGTCGATTTGTAAGCGTAGCATTCGCGATCGCCAGGGGTCCCGTTAAAAAAAAAAGTAAAAACTGCTGCACGGCGATGTCAATTTTCTCGCGATTCTCGCCCCGCGAGAACCGTTATCAATTGGCATCGCATGCGGCTAGTGTATATACTTTTCGTGACGAGAAAGAAACCCAATTAAAAAGAAGTCGCGCTGAGGGAGCCGTGCTCGCCTGTCCACTTAAGGTGTTGGATCTCCAACGACTAGCCAGCATGTGTAATAACCAGCTGATCGGCGGCTTTCCAAAAAACGACACATAAAGGCTTGAGCGGTGATGGATCTCCTTCGTTCGACGAATAATTTTTTGCTCGACGATTGTCCGCGTGTTATGAGATACAAATGACGTGAAAAAACGTACAACCGTTTCGATTGATGATCTTAATTTAGCTCTGCTGCTGCGGCTGCTGCTGTTGCTGCTGCTGGTTTACTTCCCGGGTAATGAATAAATAATAAATTCAGGCGGTGAAGCCTGCAAGTTGTTTTTAAAAGAAGCATTTAATGACAGTTTATCGCATTATTACCAAGGCATATCGTGGATGAACAAAGTCACGGTGATATTTTAAACTCATATTGCTATTAAAACGGATCTCCAGGGCAGTCAGTTTAAGCACGATTAACACTTGCTTTTACTACTTGAAAACCTTTTCGAATACGTCTTGGAAAAATCAATCAGCAATTTTAATTTTTTCTACGATCATCGATTTCATTAACAATTAATAAAAGCACTCGCAAAGTTAAAAAAATTGCTAATGATAAGAATACGCACATTGTAATCGTAACCGTATGAATACACAATGTTCACACGTCGTCCTAAATGTTTCTTTCATATGTTTGCATATGGCTAATTTTAATCCAAACTATAGCTTACCTGACAATTGTATCTTCTTTTTGACTTCAATAATTTTTTTATTTAACCCATTCAACTTGTGAGATACTGTATTATCAGCCATTTTCACCTGTTATACACCACTTTCCAACCACTTGGAAATATCGATCAAACTATTTCGAGATATCCTTGGCTACTGTATGCGCGCTTGCAACGTCCAAAAAATGAAATCGAAAGCATATAAACGTATTACCGTCGTACAAGAACGATTTCATTAAAATCAACGTGGTGCACTTAAAGCATGGAAAAGTTATAATTAAAAAGAAAATAAAAGACCGTGCGTATGGATTTTCCAGCAAAAAGTATGGAAGCGCGACAGTAATTATAACGAAGCGCGTGTAAGAATTGATAATAATTCAAGCCAATCTTCTAATTACAATTTATGATTCTCTTCCTTATCGTTTTTTTTTCTTCGACGTGGGGCAACCTATATGAAGCGATTACAATTCGACATGCCGTAACTGCTTAGAATTCATCATCTAAAAATGCCGTGAGCGCGAATGTCCGCCAAGCGACTTGGAATTACCATTCCATATTTGTATTCGTTAAGCGTATAGTACTGTATGTGAGTGCGAATCCTTAGCTTTTCGATGCGATCGCTCGCAAGAGAGAGATTAATTCGCAGCTATGGGAGCATGAGATATTTGCTTTTTTCGTCGCTTTTCACACTCAGAGGGAGTCTCGAGAAATTCTAAATGACTCTGTAATTTGTTGGAATTGAATCTACTGTGTTAAGCTTGTTGCTCGTGGTTTTGCTAGTCGAAGCGAATAACTTTTCGTTATGTTTCATTTTATTTTGAAATTTCTTGATTAACAGTTTATTTGAAAGCCAATAAAAAAAACGAATAATCGCTACACATTAGATTAGTACGTGTGCACGATCTACAATTGGAGAAAAAAAAGGGTCCGAGCTTGATGGGTGTTTTTCTTTGTTTGTATCGTTTATTGAGTTGAAAAAGGCTTTGTATGCCTCGATTGTCTAGAAGTAAACGCGTTTGGCACGCGTAAGTCGAAAAATGATCCTTCTTATTTATAACTAAGCTAACGACACTGATATAACTTATTTTACCGTACAGTTGCTTCTCTTCTTTCTTGCTGTCGTGCAAGAGTAAATTTAAGTTCGACCAGGTAAGAACATTCAATTTGGTTTTTTCGACAATAATCACTAAATTATTTTATTTTATTTGCGAACTATAATTCATAGCGTTCTCTTTACCGCAACGATCAGTGCACATGAATATTTACCTGGTGCTATTTCAATTCCCTATGACATAATGTGCCTATTATGCTCGCATATAATAAATTCGCTTGATAATTAGGATATAAAGGAGAGCGATATAAAATTTAAAGTTACGGTTTCGTATTGTTGCATCGTGTGTGCTTTCTTCGCAAGTGCTAATGAAAGTGGTATTATAGTTGCTTAGTTGCGAAACGCTCACGTATATTGTAAAATTTGTGCAAAGTTCACACTAAAAAAAAGTGATTAGAGTTGTGAGAAGCTTGAAGAACTGCACGAAATGAAATTCCACGATAAGCATAAATTATGATGCTTTGTCAGCTTTTCAATAAAATAATTGTATAACTGATTATTCAAAGCGATTAATTTGTCAATTAATATATGATAACAGATGATAAATACAATAATGATTTTATTGTACTAAATTTTGACGTTGAATGAACTTTCTTGTGATTATAATCGAAAGAACTATGCATATCTAACATTTGTATCAAGTTTAGATTTATCAATTCAATATAATAAATTATTGAAAATAGAAGTATTTTGTAAAAGTTCAATTTAAATACTTATGCAAGAAGAATTTAAATACTTATGCAAGCTAGAAAAATGTTCAAAAGTGATCAATTCTCAAAGTTTTCATAAAATATGACCAAGAGGTATGAGATAATGACTATGATTTTTTCAAATTTTTAAAATTCCGGAAAAATCAAGAGCTTTTAGATATTTTTCCGAGCTTCTATTCGAAACCAGAATGCAAGTTGGCGAGCCCACTCAATGTAAAATTTTTACATTCTTATATTCCATGGCAATATTTGTAATCATTCCATTTAACGAAAATATCTTTCATTGCACCGTTCGCAACACTGAACATTTATTCAAAAGTAGCCAGAACAAAGTATCGTACATTTAAATTCAAACAATTATTCCAATGCATTTCAAATTATTCTTACGCCTATTCAGCACGCAAAGCTTTTACAAAAAAAAAGGAAAGAAAAGAAAGAAAAGAGCTTCTTTGAAAAATCTCAACCCACGAATTTTCTCACACAAATCTAAAGAAGCAAAGATCGCTCCTCAAAAGAAACAGTTCAATCCCCGAAAGAGCCAACGAAGAAAAAAACCGTTCACCCCCCCTGCACACACACACACATACTAACACACACATAATAAAAACCTATAAGGGTGTGTAAAAACAGACGGTCGTTTTTCTCCCCTCTTCTTTGACATACTGCTGTTAGCTGTGCGTGTGTTGGGCTGCGCGCGAGCGACATCAGAGGCGCTTCGTTGTAAACTCGGGCCAGTTCGCGGGCATCATCCAGTCCCATACACCGCACGAAAGGTGCGCGCGCAGCTCCGATCACACAGGGAACTGCTTTCGAGCGAGCCTGCTGCTGCTGCCTGCCGACTTGTGCCGAGTTGAGAGAGACGAACAATAGACGGACGCGCGCTGCTCTCTGTGTGTTTACGCGAATGGTTGTGTGCTGCTGCTCCAGTGTGATGTCGGACGATGCGCGAGTGACGTGAGATAAGTTGTTCTCTGGTTAAAAGAAAGGCGAAATTTAGTGAGTTAAAATCGATTGTGTGCGCAAAACGACGTTGAAAACGCAGCGAGTTGCTTCAAGAGAGAAAGTGAGAAGAGCCGCTGCTCTCGATGAAGTGGCGGTGAGACGAGAAACTCGCGCGCGCGACGACGACGGCGTGTGGTGCACTTCTGCCATCACGGCCGTGACAACATGCTGGGACGGAGGTGCCCCGGCAGGTACCGCATCCTCCTCGCCGCCTTCATTTTCGTCATTGGTAGTCTACAAGTTTCCTACGGTAAGTCCTTTGTGCCGGAAAGAACATGACGATAAAATAGCCGTTCGTCCTTTTAAAAGCCCATGTCCTCCGAAAATTAATGAGTTGTAAAAAGTCAGGACCATCGGGCACACAACGGCGAGTGCAAAATTACAGAAATTCGAGCTGTTTCCGCGAATAAAAATAAACGGATAAGCGCCATGCGATGTGCGCGCGAGCATGGCAACAGGTTTCCCCTTATGCGCTCATCCTCTAAAGAAAAGAAAATCACATATCCTTTTACTCAAGCTATTCTCTCCTCTGCAACGGCCACGTCTATGAAATTTTACCGCGCGAAACATCATTTAATCGCTCCGAAAAACCAGCCGATATTTTCCTGGGGGTAGATGTATAAGCTGCGGCAGCGCCCGCAGGAAATGCATCGGTATTCCGTCTGCGGCGCGTCGAGGCGCAGCTGCTGCCGTATGGCCAAGGGGAAGGGAGAGAGACAGCCATTACTAACCTTGGCGAAAATGTCGGCCGGCTGCATGGGGCCCACACCAAATGCGACTGCTGTGGCGGCTGTACACTCCATCGAGTTATTTTGGAAATTTTTTTATTATTCTCTTCGTACGTCCTTTTCCTTTCAGCTGGATGATAGGATTGAGAGAGACGTTGTGCCTCTTGAAGTATGATTTTTCTATTTTCAGGGTGGATTCGGGATTCTTACGGTAACTAAAACGCATTGTGTATTTTGTGTGTAGTTTTTTCTTTTATTGAATCTTTCAATGGCGAAAATCAATCGATTATTGACTAAGAGAAAAAATTAAATTTGAAAAATATGTTACGCCTTTCAAACACGTTCTCACAAGTATGGAAAAATTCATCTATGAAAAACGAGTATTTCGCAGCATACGCATTACTCTATTCGTGAAAGTGAGTTCGGTGCATAATTTAAAGAAACCCTTTTTAAAGCTTTGACATTTAACAGGCAACAGTTTTGTTTACATTCGTCCTCTGAATGGATTCCATTAAAAAAATACTTTTCTCCACGCCCAAAATACATTATTACTCTTTTTCTTTTTTACTGCGTGAAACATTATTGCACGGCTTTTTACTGGGCGGTAATTTCGTTAGTTCTCTACTGTTGTATGCGAACGCCGAGTGATAAATTATGGTAGTTCTTATTCATGCATTTTTCAACATTGGCATATAGAAAGCGTGGAACTTGCAGCAATGAATTTTTGTTTCTTTCATTAGATTCGATTTCTGATGTTGAAATATCAACATCGATAATTGTATTTACAATTCACTGTCGTTTGTAACATTTTCAATTGTGCTTGTTACAAATCGTTATTCCATTAAAAAAAATTGCTAACCGTAAAAGTCGCGTAATATCCTGCCAATATCACATGACCAATCCTTTCCGAAAACCTCCAATCTCACTACACCACATACGATACTGTAATATACATCCCCGCAACGCACTTCCTCTCTCTCTTTCTCCCTCTCGTAAGAAAAAAAGTACACGCGCGTGCGCGTGTGTGTGTCGGATGCTGCCGGAAGGACATACGCGTGGTGCTATACATACGTGTGCGAAGGTTGAGAGCCACTGAGGGACAGGTGCCCAACCCCTCTTTCCAGGAAGCGACGCGCACTCCAAGCAGTAACCGTGGAAAAAACGCTCTCTCGGGTGAATTACCTTATATACACGCGTGGGCTTGATTTGCCCATCGTTGGGGTGGATTTCGTATATGGCAGGGCATCGGGAAAAACGGTTAGGTACCCGCATATATTTGAATTTTTAGCTCTTTCTATGGTTCTGTGTATGTATGCAGCGAGGAGAAATTATAGAGTGGAGTGTTGATGTTTTGGCACGATTTGGGGAATTCGCTCGTTGACCTATTGTGTTAAGCTGGCTCAGAACGAATGCTATCATCTCCAAAATATTGTACAATTGTGCGATTTTATTAAAAAGATTATTTTTATTATTTGCATTAGTGTTTACGTTGTCAACAACAGTTTTATTGATTTTTATTTATTTTTATTTTTTT